ACACACACACACACACACACACACACACACACACACACACACACACACACCTAGATTTACCATATTTCAACATGGAAGTGTGAGCTCCAGCTCACACAAAATGATCAATAGCATTGCAGGATACGGTTCTTATTACCATTGCTAACTCTGAGAGACGAGACAGTCCAAGTAACTTCAAAACAGTGCTGATTTATTCAAAGGATCACAGGTAAAATTAACATTACACGCTCAAGTATCTTGCACCTCCAAACTGCTCGCAGGCAGATGTAAGATGAAAGACCCTGAACCCACCAGGCCTATACATTATATCCCCTCGGTTGGGCTAGCCCCATACTACACAGAAACGCCAACCGAGACGTCTCTGTTGCCAGCTCTGCAGCTGGCCATAGCAGTAGTCAAAACATGAAGCAAATCAATGTGAGTGCGTGTCTGTTGATTAAGTGGTGTGTAACTAGAAACATTCTCACAGACTTCTAGTACATGTCGTGACTTAAACATAAGAACATATTATGGCTAAGGCTACAGTTATACACGTCGTAATAATAATATTAAACACAGTCTAACTAGACATCCTATCTCCACTAAACATTTCTAATACATAAAGTATCTATCCAATATCTATCTGACTAAAAATACCTAACAGCATCACGAACTATTGAAGGTTGCACCCCTGTCCAGGGCGGAGCAGCCCAAGAAGACAAAATGTATTGTAAGAACTTAATTCGGGGTCAGCGGATGGAACTCCTGTGGGAGCTCTATCTCTCTGATCCCAGCGCTGTGAGGCCTACCTGTGCTCAGACATTCAGTAAACCTTCTGTTGATTTTAAACAGTCCTCTCCTGTCTTCACTTCTAGTGCTTCCAACAAAAGAATCGGGTTAATTTCTAACACACCTCTGTTCACCACTGCTTTGACAGTGATTCATTCATCCATAGGACCCCTTCTCCATGCTTGGTCTCCACATTGCCCGGACACTGCTCCAGCAGAGACCGTTGGTCCATCAAGTATTCTGCCTGTCTCAGCCTTTACTGGTCACTTGTGATAGATTTAAACTTTGTTGATTATCTGAGTCCTGGTTCTGGCATCCGGATACCTGTACCTAATGGCCCTAGGCCTTAACGCATACAAATAGTTCACCTATAAAAACATATTTTAACTGGAGCATCTCAAATTGACAACCAGCCCCCCAACATGTATGCATATTTTTTTTTACAAAGAAATAACCTGCACCATGGTACACATCTGTACAGACTTAACTGCCCATCTGGTGCGGTATTACTGTACCTTCCTTGTTCAACTTGAAGCCTGCATAATGTAAAAAAGGACAGCCCACACTCAACCCACTTGTTAAAAATTTAGAGCTCAAGATGTGACAACATTACAAGCTTCAGAAACAAATTGGATAAACTGTTTACTCACTGTTTCATTCTCTGGCAGTGAACACAGTTTACTCATCCTCAACAACCACTGTCTTCTGCCTTATTAAGACTTCTATAGTAAAGCTTACTGTGCTACACAAAATGCTGAAGAAAAAAAGATGTTTTCACCCACTGATGGCCTAAACATCTTTGCCCACACCAGCATGAATTGATTTATGACACCATAGAAAAATCCATACCATTCTCTCCTATTTGGGGTGTTTGATAAAGCCCCAAGAGAACCACATTGACTTGTACATTCTGAAGGTTGGTGAAAGCTTTACAATGATTTCTGCAGCCGGACCCATAAGGCCATGCAAGAGCTTAGTGAACCATCCTGAGGTGAGTCGGCATGCAGAGCTCTACCGAGCAAGCATATCACTCACATATGCGAGTAAAAATCGATGTGTGTGAATGTGAAAAATTATTTGGGTGCACAGGTCCAACTGACTCTGAGTGAGTCCTGAACTCA